ATAGGTCAGAGCCATGTTGCTTGGCCAGTTTTCTTATCATATTTGTTGCCCATTTAGATATTGTCTCATCCCCAGGACTGTTAACATTCTATACTGGATAGTTCTTTATTTTGAAGGGTAATCCTGTGCATTGTAGGGTGTTTTAACTGCATTCTTGGCCTCCACCCACTGAATACTAGTGGTGCCTCAAAAGTTTTGACAGTTTCTATCATCTCCAGACATTGACAAATGTCCCCTGGGGCGCAAAGATGCCTCTGGTCAAGAACTACTGATTTAGATGGATCAGATACATTTATTTATTAATTTATTCTTAATTAATTTATTTTTAATTAATAATTTTTTAATTAATTAATTAATTTATTTTTGAGATAGAGTCTGTCGCCTTAGGTAGAGTGCAGTGGCATCATAGCTCACAGGAACCTCAAATTCTTGGGCTCAAGGGATCCTCTTGCCTCAATTTTTCTCTTTTTAGTAGATTCTAGTTGTGATTTAACTAGGTCCAGTTCTTACTCAGGCTGGCCTCAGGCTGGTCTTGAACTCCTGAGCTCAAGCAGTCCACCTACCTCAGCCTCTGAGAGTATCAGGATTATAGGTGTGAGCCACCATGCCCAGCTACCAGGTACATTTTTTAATAATAAACATTTATTAAGTTAGTGAGATAGAAAGAAAATGGTATGTGTTGAGACTAGGCTTTATTTTAAAAGATAGATTGCCACCAGGCCTGCATAAACCACTCATAGCATGTATATTTTTATAGCTATACTTTGTTTTCATCTCCTTTAAGTGGGGAGTTTGTTTCTTAATTTAACTATAAATGCCATATCATTTTATTTTGCGATATTAGCTTACCTGGAAAATGAAGATAAATTTGAATAGAAATTGCTTTGAAATAGTTAATAGTGAGCTAATCTTTATTTTTATATTGTGGTTTACTTGCCACTAGATGGACCCATTCTCCTAATGAAATGAAGAAAACTGAAGAATGCTTTTTTTTTTTTAAATTGAAAACATATCTAAGCTTATAGTATGCTGAGTTAATGGATTTTTTTTTTTTACATCAAATACATAATCTTCTAAATTTTTCTGTGTTTTTTTTTGTGATTCAGACAGAGTCTTGCTCTGTCATCCAGGCCAGAGTACATGGTGCTACCATAGCTTACTGCAGTCTTGGACACCTGGGCTTAAGCGAACCTCCTGCCTTAGCCTTCTAAGTATCTGGGACTACAGGAGTATACTCTCATGCCTGACATTTAAGACATATTTTATAGAGGTCTCATTGTGTTGTCTGGGCTATCTCAGATTCCTGATCTCATGTCGTCTTCTTGCCTCGGCCTCCCAAAGTGCTGGATAGAGATTTGTTTGGATGAGGGTTTTGTAAATTTGTAACCCTTATTTTACTTTAAAAATCCATGTATTGGCTGAGCGTGGTGGCTCACACATGTAATCCTAGCACTCTGGGAGGCCAAGGTGGGTGGATTGCCTGAACTCATGGGTTCAAGGCTAGCCTGAGTAAGAGCAAGACCCCCATCTCTAAAAAATAGCTGTGCATTGTGGCTGGTGCCTATAGTCCTAGCAACTAGGGAGGCTGAGGCAAGAGAATCATTTGAGCCCAAAAGTTTGAGGTTTCTATGAGCTATGCCGCCATGGCACTCTACCAACGGTGACAATGACGGAAAAAAAAAAAAAAGGCTTGGCGCCTGTTGCTCAAGTGGTTAAGGCACCAGCCACATATACCTGAGCTGGCGGGTTCTAATCCAGCCTGGGCCTGCCAAACAACAATGATGGCTGCAACCAAAAAATAGCTGGGCGTTGTGGCAGGTGTCCGTAGTCCCTGCTACTTGAGAGGCAGAGGCAGGAGAATTGCTTGAGCCCAGGAGTTTGAGGTTGCTGTGAGCTATGATGCCACAGCACTCTATCCAGTGTGACAGCTTGAGGCTCTGTCTCAACAACTAAATAACTAAATAAATAAAAGATTTTTCTAAGTGCTCTTTAAAAAAAATGTCAAAACCCAGAGAATATCAGTCTCATAATAATAGAGCAGTGGTCTATTTCAAGAAAGAAGATTAGGGGAACAGATTTTTATTAACCAAGCGTTTATTACAAACAGCTGTGAAGAACTATGGCATTTGCGCAACTTTGAAAAAGAGAGAGGTGGGGAATTATGATCTTTAGTTTTGCATATTGTCTTTGATGCTGAAGGAGCAATAGGAAGACTTGCTGGTTCATTA